ATCCTTCGCCATTGCATGGAGCTCTCCCCATGTCCTCCCCATCTTTCTAACTTCATTCTCCAGCTCACTTCTCCATCTGTTTTTTAGCCTTCCTTTATTCCTATGCCCCTGTGGGTTGCAATGCAAAAACATTCTAGTTATGCTGTTCTCCTGTTTTCTCAGTGTGTGTCCTATCCAACGCCAGCGTCTTTTCCTCACCTCTTGGTCCATTGGAGCTTGTTTATTTCTCTCCCAAAGCTCTGCATTAGTCATGCTATCATACCATTTAATTCCTTCTATTCTGCGCAGGCACCAGTTAATTTAAGTCGGTTCTACAAACCATTATTAACTAAAAAGACATGTATTTTGTGGATTCGGCGCAACAACTACTTTCTTTAGTACAACAGTCTGTTTTGCAGTGGATTCCTGATTGCTATGCCATGGTGGATTGGAGACAAAAATAGCAGAAGGCATGGCACCAGAAAGGAGGGGCAGGGGCAGACCAACACGAAGGCGGGCACAGAATAAGTGATTCCTTGAATATAAAAGTACACGAGGCGGAAGAGCTGGCGAGAGATCGAGTTTCTTTCAGGCAGACCGGGATGAGAGCGACGTTCTGCACAGTATCTGCTACATGATGATGATAGCATGGCAGTAGCTGTAAAGAACCCTTTCTCACGATATCGAGCGCATTGTTCATTTAGAACTGAGCCTATATTTTGTAGACCAATCCACATTCGCAGAGTGATGTATGTCGTAGAAATGAGCCAGACATCACCCCACCCATCCCCCCCCCCTCCCTTTAAAAAAACGGCATTTTCCCGGGGAAAACAGGATGTGTGGTCACCCTACGTGGAACGCAATGAAAGATCAGACAGAATGGCAAAAAGCGGTAGTAGTGACATGATGCAGTCGAATTATGACCTAGGCCACCAGGAGACAAAGACATTATTATTATTACTCGCCTATCTAGAGGAGGACAATGTGTTTTTCAGAGTAATGACAGGGAATAGCAGACTTCGCCAACAAATGTTTCAGTTTTTCAGTGTAGGAAACACGGAGATGTGTCCCCAAACCTTAGCACCAGAAAATGTTGAGCATTAGCTCCAACACTGTCAACTGTATGCTGCTAAAAAAAAAAAAGTAGCATGTGGCCTGTTCCAACTTCGGTGGTTTGAGGGTTTGAACAACGGATCAACATCATGGCACACGGCTGTAATCCATAAGTGCTCCGTTCTTCTTCTAACTCAAGTCTGAGTCAGAAGAAGCTCAGCACAGTGCACAGGCTCTGTAGCACCGGCGAGGATCCTCAAATACTTTGGGTATATTGTTAACTACAAGTTTTGCCCGGGCAGCGCCGTTAGGCTACTCTTTTTGATTTCCAACTGCCAAATGATTTTTTACGTGTGCAACAATGCACACGAGGGTGCGATCTCAATACTCAGAGACCGGGGGGAATTATTAGAAGTCCAAGTACACGTAAACAAAATCCCAGCTCTTACCGGGGATTGAACCTGGAACCTCTAGCACTCAAGGCGGACACCATTCCTTGAGACGATGTATCCCCCTCCAACTTCAATGAAGACATCTATAAATAAACAGAGAGGGGACCTTTGAGGCCGTTAAATATTATGAATTAATCAAGCAACAGAAAGTGTATTGATACTTTTATAAGGGGTTTGTTTAATCTCTAGTTTGCTAGATAATGCTGCTTTGTGATGTTAACAGAGTCTCAAGGTATCTGTAACTCCTTCAATCCGTATAATTCTTGGTCGCCCTCTACCTCTTGGTGTTTCTACTTTCATGTTGTACGCTCTGGTTGCTGACATCAATCGATTCATTCTCATTTAATGACCCAAATACTTCTGCCTTTGTTTTCAATGACTTTTTTTTTTTTTTTTATGAGCTTAGTTTAAAAAGTCATTACAATTTTCCCGTTTCTCACATGATCTCTTCTTGGCGTTTCGTTCACGGCCTTTCTCAAGCATCTCACTTCACAGGGGTCAGTTTTTGTTTCGTGTTCTTCAGTCATTGTCAACGTCTGACATGATAACACGAGATTGGTATGAAGACTGTATTTATAATTTGCCTTTTTGACTCTACTGGGATAGCCGGGGGTTTTAAAACTGGGGTCGACTGAAACGTGACATTGTTGGCTTGTTACATTTTTTGGGCTCTCCTCCGAAATGCGGTCCTAAATTATCTACGCAGAAAGTAAACCCTAACAGAGTCTCATTACATCATGCCCTACAAAGATTTAAAAGTTGTAACTCGGAAAATATAAGGAAGGAAAAGTATGAGGAAAAGGGGAAAGTCTACTACTTACTGATAATTAAATCGTTTATATGTGAAAATTGTGGCGCAGAAGTTGCAAATAGTGCCTGAATATCTGTTCTTTCTGGCTGTGCCGGCATTGGAACTCCTCCAAATATTGCGTGGTCGTAAATGCCATATTTTAATTTCCCAACGTTCCTGTAGGCTCGCCAAACGTCAGTCACAATTCTCGTTCCGGGCAACACGTGATCAGCAATGGCGCGTTCTGATGCACGCGCATCTCGCCTCGGGACAACTTCAAACCAGCAGCGGCCACTATGGCGCTCCACTAGACCGATCACACAGTGACCATGGCGAATGCGACCACGCAGGTACTTGCGGAAGAAATAGCTCATGTTATTTGTAAGACTTTTTTTCCGGCGACTACAGTGCCACCCCCGAGAGTATTCCCCGCGCCGCGCTAAACTAGATGGCTAGGACTCACGAGCAAATACAATGTAGGAAGCTGCAGGGGAAGCGGTAGCTGCTGCTCGTGAGTCCCAGTCATCTAGTTTAGGGGGATACTCTCGGAAGTGGCACTATAGTCGGCGAAAAGTGGTCCGTAACTTACATGTAACTGAGGCCCTGCCGTAGGATAACCCTATCGGGTGTATTCTTGCGTTTCGCTAATTTTTCCTCCGTAGGTAATCCTAGATATGCCACCGTTTAATCGTCGTAAAAAAATCCGTTGCGTTTCGCGAAAATGTCGTGCGCAATTAATCCTACTTTTGACGCGGTTGATTCGCCGCAAAAAGAAATGCGAATTTTAGATATGACCGAGGCTCTGTCATTTTCTGCGTAGATAATTTGGGACCGTTATTCGGAGGAGAGCGAGCCGATTTTTTGTTTCAATCTATCTTTCTGTTCTGCCAATATATGTAAAAATGCTTCTCAAATATTTAAAGTGTTCATTTACAGTGACGCGAATCTATGGTTGTCTAAAATGTACGTCAACAGCATACACAATTTCGAAAGCTCTGCCCTAAACCTTTTTCTGTCAGTGGCCCAGAATCGCATAATCAGAACCACTGCTGATATCTTCAACATGTAGCAACCTGTGTTTTTATAAGCCACATGGATTGTAAATAGCACAGATCTCTGTAAACTCACACTATCAATTATTCAGCAATTTGAAACGAAAGTTCTGGTTTCCCGTTTATCTCGTAGATAGTATTTGGGGACCAGTATTTGCAGTGTCCCTGATGAAGAAGAAAGGGGATTTGTCGATATGTCAACGCCCACAATTTATAGTGCAACTAAACAGACCGACGTTCTAAGTCGATCGGGCATTTGTTTCATCTCTGCCGTTTCTTTTAGATCGATGTTTCTCAAAGTTCATCACACGGTTCTTAGAGCAGCGTTGTTCAACCTGTTGTGTTAACATGTGGACCTTGGAATTAGGAGCATTTTCTTCTTCTTCTTCTCCTTCTTCTTCTTCTTATTCTTATGCTTTTCTTCTTCTTCTTCTTCTTCTTCTTCTTCTTCTTCTTTTTCTTCTTCTTCTTCTTCTTCTTCTTCTTCTTCTTCTTCTTCTTCTTCTTCTTCTTCTTCTTCTTCTTCTTCTTCTTCTTCTTCTTCTTCTTCTTCTTCTTCTTCTTTTCTTCTTCTTCTTCTTCTTCTTCTTCTTTTCTTCTTCTTCTTCTTTTTCCTTCTTTTTCTTCTTCTTCTTCTTCTTCTTCTTCTTCTTCTTCTTCTTCTTCTTCTTCTTCTTCTTCTTCTTCTTCTTCTTCTTCTTCTTCTTCTTCTTCTTCTTCTTCTTCTTTCTTGTATCCATCAGTGAAGCAAAGGCCGTCAAACAACTCACATCAAGTCGTTATATCTTTCAATATTGCATTCATCTCGTTCATGTCCTCCCCATCTTTTTAACTGTCCTCACTAGCTCCTTCTCCATGTGTTTTTAGTTCTGTCTTTATTTCTGTGTCGGCTCTGTCGCTACGTCGATGCGAACGCTTCATAATGCCGGAGTACCGGGTTCGATCCCAGCTCCGGGCCATGTGCCTTGCGTTGGTTTCGACAGTGGTATCAAGAAAGCCGACTGTCCAGAAAGCAATGACAAACAACTGGACGTAAATTTGCCTAGAAAACCCACACAACTTGGTTCTGCAACTTCCTGTAAAAGATACGCCACCAACCTTTATTTTTATGCCTTTATTTCTAAGCCCTTGCGGGTTCCGGTGCAAAGACATTCTAGACTGTTTTAGTTGTTCTCCATGTTTCTGCCCCATACAACAGTGCTGGTTTGACATGAGAGGATTATTATATACTGAATAATCTCTCCCATGTGGGTTCCGGGGCCCTGTTAGGGATACAGAGAGAGAGGGCGCAAGGAATATGTCTACTGAAAGGGCGATTAATCAGAATCTTGATGAAATCGGATTTGTTGGATCGATAGAAAGAACGAACGAGCGAACGAAAGAAAAAATTAATCTTCAAAGGGTTAAAAATTGGGCACGCAGGCCCGTCTGATATTCGGCCCTTCAAAGCACTCATTTTTCAGAGTACCAATGCCTGTTAGGAGGAGGAGAAGAAGAAAAAAAACAAGAAGAAGAAGATGATGATGTTGATGATAAAATTATAATGATGATTTTGACGATAATATTGATGATGACGATAATGATAATGAAAATAATGACGAATCTGTCATTTCCCTGAGTTTTCTTAATAAGGTCATTATTGTAGTAATAATTGCTTTCGTGTCTAACTGGCAGGTTCCTGTTTGTGTTGGTGTGCCTCACAATGGGAGTATTGTCCTCAATTTCAGAGTTCGAGAAGTTGCTCCTGCAGTATGCTGTCTACCTG